CCAAGTGGGGTTCTCAGCTATTATGTGAGACTTGGAATGGTCCAAAAACTTTATAATGAATTTTGCACATACTAGCAAGTTGCATTTTTAAAGACATCCTGCAAGTGGGTTATAGTGAATACAAAGTAGTATCCACCAAGAAATTAGCTTGTTGAAGGGTCAACCTAATTGACAGTTTGATACACTCCCTGATTCAAAACTGTGTTGAACCATGATTTGTTTAATAATGTTTGACTAAACCATACTAAGCCATAACTTACTGTTTATAAGCCATAATGCCATGGAAGCCAGGTTCATTGATGATTTTGTTACAATAGCATGCATTTGTGTTTTGATGTCTGAATGCAGTGACTGTATATCATCTAACTTCCATGAATCATTACCATTTATTCAGACATTTATCCAGAACAATGCATTTTGCTTTTGAAGTAATCTAGTCAATAAACTAGATTTTTGTTAAATCTTTGTTAAAATCAAAAATGGCAAAAGCTTGCTTCTTAATATTTTGATCATTTGCCTTTTTATGGGATTATGAAAGATTTTATATAGTACTCCTTACTATAGATTTCAGGTAGTTTAAGTAAAGACTGTTTAAAAATGCATTTAGTTAAAGTATTCTTTGAAATATTGGTGAGGAAAAGAAGTGCCTTTAAAGCATGTTTTAGAAGCATCCTTCTAATTGTAGTGAAATTAAGCAAAACTTTGTTTTGCAAATTATATTGTAAAAGCTTACTGTAGTTTTTTTTACAGAAAAGAGTAAATATTTTAATTGTAGATAAAGAGTTACTTTTTTATGGATAAAGGGAACATGCCATGCTTATTTTTTTCCCCATTATAGGAATTTCCACATATGTCCACAGGCTTTTAGTCAAAAGAAGAATAATGGATTAAAAATAATAATAATGTAATCCTGTACATATTTCAATCAACGTCCTATTCTCTGCCCTTAATGATATTCTGCATATATTTACACAACATGCTAAGCCAAAACCAAAAACTCATGTTATAATTCTATATGATGTGTTTACTCATCTGATTATGAATTATTAAGTAAACTGTGTTTAAACAAATAATGACTCTGTATGTTATATGAATCCAAGCTCTTTATGGATGGTGACTATCCAGGCTTTTAAAGAGCTACTCCTCTAATCGCCCAGCCACAAGTAGAATATGTATCAGAGTCAGACTGTGGTTGCATTCATACTGGCCTGTATAATAATAACAACAACAACAACAACAACAATACAGACTCATTAATTTGCAGCCTGACTTAAATGCTTGTAGCAAAAAATGAAAAGATAAATCTCAGGTTCTTGAAGGAAGTTGAGATAATATTTAAGAATTAATACAAGGGTTCTGCCCACTTATAAATACTGTCCCCAATTCTATCTTGACATAAATTCAGTTTTATGCATATATTTCATAAATATCTCTACATTTTTAAAGGTATGAATGCAAAGTGTACATTGATGAATATCCAACTTATGCAAACATTGGTTACATAAGGTCTGTAGTGCTGATCAGAGAAATTCTGCACTTTAACCAGGTTTCATAGTTAATTGGAGGAAATAGAATTTGCCTTAGTTGGTTTTTTTTTTAATTAAAAAAAATCAGAAATGGTTTTGGGAGAGATATAGCAGTCTTTTGCTTATTTAGCTAAGAGATAGCAAAGAAGTATGTTTGAATTTTTACACAGTAGACTTTCTAACAACCTCACAGGTTTATCACACTTCCATTACATCCCAAGGAAAGCTATAACCTGGAAACCTATCTCATGAGGCTATTCAGTAGTAGGCACTCTTGAGTATGCAGGGGTGTGTGTCTTGATCGGAAATTCTGTGAAACCTTCCACCAGAATTCTCTACCCAAAATGTACCTTTCATATTCTCTGTTTCCCAGAGAGATGATACTGTCATAATCCTTTATTACTGGAAGGCACCAGATTAGAGAAAGCAGATTTTTTGAAAAGCTCTAGAATCCTGGACAACTTTATTCTCTGGAAGGTACACAAGTAGATAGCATCTCTGGCTCAGGTTTCCTAGTCAAAAGCCTTATTTGATAGTACACCAGCTTATTTTTGATACTGGAAGTAATATATTGCTATTAATGATATTTCTTTTGTCCAATACTTGCAGATTGTTTGGACAAATCCCTGCAGTTTTCTTGATAATGTTTTCCAGTTACCATTGTCTACTTCCTAGGGCTGAGAGAAAGTGACTGGCCCAAGGTCATCCAGCTGGCTTTGTGCCTAAGGTGGGACTAGATCTCATAGTCTGCTGGTTTCTAGTTAATGCCTTAACCTTTTCCTCCGTGACTTTATCTAATTTCTTTATGGCTGTCCGGGTTGACATACCCCATTACTTTTTGTAATAACAAATTCCACAGCATAACTGTTCACAGTATGAAGTCCTGTTTCCTTTCTTTTTTCAGAGTCTTTTATTTTTCATTTTTATTTGAATATTATGAAAGAATTGTTCTTTCACTAATCTTTGACCAACGTTTTTCAGAATTACGTCCAATTGTACAGTCATTTTTATAGACCACATATAAGTCTACAACGTATAACGTATGGCCACAATTTAGCCCAAAATTAATGTTGTTAAGGGAGAAATTTGTTAAAGGAGTATTGCCCCATTTAACAACTTTTCTTGCCGCATTTGTTAAGTGAATCACTGCAGCTGTTAAATTGGTAACATGTTTGTTAAGTGAAACTAGATTCCTCATTGACTTTGCTTCTCATCACGTGATCCCAGGATATCATCATAAACATGGACCAATTGTCAAGCATCTGAGTGTAAATCATGTGACCATTCGGATACTACAATGGTCAGAAGTGTGAAAAACTGTCATAAGTCACTTTTTTCAGTGATGTAACTTTGAACAGTCACTAAATGAACTGTTTTAAGTTGAGGACTACTTATAGTTTCCAACAAGGGTGGGATTCAACCGGTGTTACTTCCGATTCAGTAATAAACCGAAAGCTGTGTTGCCCAGACAGCTGATAAGCACTGCGTGTGGGTGCACAGCATTTGAAAAGCCACTTTTTTGCTGCTTTTTCAACCTCAGCTGTGCCGTGCAAAGCAGCTGAGGTTGAAAAAGCAGGAAATAAAGGACAGATAAGAGCCCGGGCGGGTGAGTGGGCCAAACAGCAGCAGGCACAGACTGCTGCTCTTCAGAGCTACCGGTTCTTTAAAACTGGGCAGAACCAGTAGCATCCCACCCCTGGTTTCCAATGAAGATTTAAAGCCCAGTGCATGAGCTCGGTACTTTTTTTGTCATTATTATTATTTTTTTGCTGAATATTACTTCCAAATTATATCCACTGCAATATTTCAGTCATGGAAGGCTGGGATCAAGGAAAATTTTAGAATAGAGAAAGGGTTATAATTTTGCTAACATGCAAATATTTGATCAGTTTAATTTTACAACAAAGTTATCCATATAAGTAGGCCTGCTATTTACTATATTCCTAGACCCTTTCTAATGTGTCAGGATAGAAAAACCTCTAACAGGAGAGAATATACAGTATGTAACTCAGAGTTGAACTGTGGAGTTGTTGATGCTCTCTGAGCTTCGGTTCTTGGTCACTCTTGTGGAGACATAGTTCTTCTCCTTTGGTGGAAGGATCTGGAGGAAGATCTCATTGGAATACTGTATTGTTTGAATATTTTGTTAAAAGCAGAGAACTATAGCAGTAATCTCATAAAACTTTAATTTCTTTATTTGATTCATACAAAGTCTCCTTAATCTAATACAGAAATGTTAGCAGCACTTAAAGCTGCAGTCTCAAAATTATGGTAGTGTAAATATAGGTAGTCCTGAACTTACGACCACAATTGAGCCCAAGATTTTCTGTTGCTAAGTGAGACGTGTAAGTGCATTTTGCCCTAGTTTATGATCTTTCTTGCTAGTTTTAAGTGAATCATTGCAGCTGCTATGTTTGTAACAGGTTAAGTGATTTTTCCTAGACTGCTTATTAGGTCCACATGACCCTGGGATACCACAACCCATGAGTCTATTGCCAAGTCTTAATTTTGAACACATGACCATGGGCAACTGTGGTAAGTGTGAAAACAAGACCTAAGCATTTTTTGTCAGTGTTTGTTGTAACTTCACTAGTGACTTTCACTGTAAAGTCACTAAATAAACTGTTGTAAGTCAAGGAAAATCTGTACAGTGCTATCAAGTTTACTGGGACTCATTTCTTAATGCATTCATAAGAATGGACTTGTGACAATGGGCAAGATTTGTAGTTTTTCGGTGCTGCTGTTCTAGCTTTTGATTCTCTTAATGAGAATTTTAAAATCCCCTCTGTGCAATATTCCTTTATACATTTATTTCAGTTTGTTCCATTCATTTTGCCATTATTTCTGATGAATCACAGTTTACCTGTCCTTCACTGCTAGACTAAAATGTGGTTTAGTCTGTGGTTCAGTGTGTCTCTTTGGTGGGGTTCTGCACAGGACTTGAGTTTTGGAGAGCAGGATGGGAAGTTATATCTTAGACACGATGAAGCAAGATCAATTTTTGAAGAGCCTTGGACAGATGGAAGAAAAATTAGTGCAAGGAAACTTTCAGGCGAATGTTCTTTTCTTTTTCATTTCGTGAGGGTTTCGTGCTTGTTTTTTGATCTGCAATCCTCCCCTGCGCAAATTCGTTCTCGAAAACCAAGCAGAGAGGACCGTCCGTCCGTGCGTGTTTCAAATGCAAACTTTTGTTTTTCAATCAAAAGTTTTTCAGGCGTGCAACTCGCACCTCCTTCTCCAGGACTTGTAGCTTCTGTTTTTGTTTCTGCCTTGCCGAGTCCCACCTTCCGCCTGCACCCCCTCCCCCGCCTTCCCGATTATCTTGGGGAGGGGGAGGAGACCCGCGCCCTCCTTAAACGGGCTGCCCCCGCACTGCACTCTGGATGCGCGGAGCCGAGCAGTCACTGGAAGAGGCGAGCTGACGTCAGCCGGAGAGGTAGTTTCCAGGCTGAGCTGTCAGACCGTATAGCAGGTTAGGTATTAAAAGCACATCTAACAGCCCCGAGACCCCTCCTCTTGAACGGCCTGCGCGCACACAAAGAAGTCCCATCTCCTCGGCCGGCCAGGATCCAGCAGCATCAGCAACTAGTGTTCGCCTCGGTTGAGGCTTCGGAAGACAAACACTGCCGGGAACGCGGCCAGGAGGGGACGGGGGCGGCGGGAGTGGGAAGCAGAGCAAGACAGAAAATGAAACCGTCGAGGAAAAGTAAGTGGCCGGGAGGGAAGTTTCTGGAGCGTTGTGTGTGGGGTGGGGGTGTTAAACCATCTCTCCTTTCGACTGTAGGAAACCAATTTTGTTGGGATCGCCAAAGCTTGCAGGGAGCACTTTGCAGGCTGAAAGCGCCGGCAGAGAGTCGGGGGCGTGCAAACCCGCTTCTGTTTTGTAAAAAGCACGCGGGGGTGGGGTGGGGGAGAAGTTTCGCGTGCGTGTGGGCGTAGAGAATGGAGCACCTCCTGGAGGGACCGGGTCTGTTTTTGTGTGCGCGACTGTCTCCGCCGCTTGCAAAAGCTGCTCAACTTTGCCAAAAGTGGCGCTTGGGGAAGCAGCAGAGATTGGAAAAGCACGAGGGAGGAGGAGGAGGAGGAGGAGGGCGACGGAAAAATGCCTTCCAAGCACTCAACTGTGCCGGGGGGCGAGGGAGTGAGGAAGGGACTCTTTTGTTCGGTGCCGTTGAGTCCAACGGTGAAGGAGAAAAAGCAAAAAAGCAGATCCAACTTTCTCCATGCCGGAACAAAGGCAGGACTCTGCGACCACCGGAACCTCATTACTTGCTTTCAAATAACTTGCAGAGGTTCTTTTTCTGGGACTTTTACGTGTTTTTCTTTTCTCCCCAATCTCAAAATGGCAACTTTCCCAATTTTCTCTTTGGCAAACTCCTCCTCCTCCTCTCCCCCCCCCCAAATAAAATTCATATTTTGCTCCCTCCCAAATCACGAGTTGGGGGTTATAATTTAATTTTTCCAGAAAATTTGCCCCCCCCTTTCCCCCTTGCTGATTTGTCCAGCTTGTTAGAAATGACAGCTGGGGAGGGGAGATGCTTTTGGTGTTAAAACCGGGGTAACGCGTGCGGGGGGGGGGCAGGAGGGGGTGCAAGTTCCTGTTTCTTTTGGAACAAAGAGAACTCTGTCTCGGCATCTGTCACTCAGGGCAAGAGACACTGAAGGAAACTTTTTTTTGGTATGAGCCTTCCTCAGTGCGTTCTTCGCTTCCAGTCCTCGGGGGCCCGGGAACCCTTTTCATCCGGGAGGGGAGGGTCTCTGCTCACCCCCAGCCTTGTCCCTCGATCCCTCCATGGAAGGGCTTCGGAGGAGGCGAGTTGGGGCTAAGTGCCGCGATGTAACAGGCAGAAAACATGGAGTCCCGGGTTTGTGCGTGCGTGGAGAGACGGGTAGGGATTTAAAGAAAGGGATGGGGAGGAGGGGAGGTGGGAGGGCTGAGGCGAAGTTATCTTTGCATTCCACTTTACTTTTCTTTGGCCCTTTCGGAAACTCCTGCGCCTAATCCTTGCTCGAGCCACTGCCGATGCGCGAAATCCAGGGGAGTTCAATCACGTTTGCAAAAACGAAAAAAAAAGGGAAAGCGTGCGCGCTTCTTGCTCTGGAGCAAACTTCTGACATCTTGAATTCAAACGGAAGGGGGAAAAATGTTATCGGGGCTCACCCCCCCCCCCCCTCCGTTCCTCGTCGGGCTGGTTTCAATGGCATTCCCTTTGTGTAGGAATGGGCACGGCGGCTGCCGCTTGTTGCCGTTTCAACTTCCTCTCTGCTGGCTTTTGGTATTGGTGGGTTGTCCTGGTTTGTTTTGTTTTTGGTTGAAAGTAGGCGGTTTGGCGGAAATATAAGCCGATAGGAAAACAAAACAAAACAAGGCTTTCGACCAACTGGACCAACTGTTGGCTTTCTGTCTTTCTGTATTGTTTGTATTTTTAATGGTCCCCCCCCCCCCCGCGCGCGCGTTTTTTCTCTCTCTTCCTCCTGTGGGTTGGATTGTGCCGTTCCCATGTGCAGCTGCTGGTGGAGTAGCTCACGGCTAGGAGGAAACGGCAGCGAAAAAAAAAGGAAAGAAAAGGCACCACCTCCTCCTCCTCCATCCCTGATGAGTTACAGACTTAAAACAGAAGGGAGAATGCCTCCCTCACGTACCCAGCCACTCCTCTAAGCCCCGTGGCGCTCGGTTGCCTGCAGGAATCGGACGAGGAACCATTTGCTTTTTTAATTAGGCACAAAGTCTTGCCATTTTCTCTTGGGGTGGGGGGCGGGAGGAGAGAAAGAGCGAGAGGGAATCGGGTTTGCATTTCAATGGACTTGAATTTGTCTGCTGTTTGTATTGCCCTCTTTCTGGGGGTGGGTCCTTGTTGATCTTTGAAATGCCTTGCTCCAAACATACTCGACCACATGTCTGGAAAAAGGCAGTAAGAAGCCAGCCTTGACCAAACTGAAAGTTGATTGTTTCTGTGGACCATTTTAGGTTCTTTCTGTCTCCCCCCCCCCCTTTTTTTTTAAACTTTCTTCCCTTTTTTTCCTTTTGAAGTGGTAGAAAATGCTGGTAAATGTAACAATCTGTACTTAAGGAAAGAAACTTTCAAGAACAGAATGTGTTCAGCTTTCAACATCCCCCCAAAGCAATGTGCCCTTTAATATCTTAACATTTGAGTAATGGTTTCATCACTGTTCAACAAGCACTAAAAACTCCAGTGGGACTGTTTATCTTTCTTTAAAATGTTTTAATGAATGCATTTTAGTCTATACAGCAACTCCAGAGATAAATACACACAGACAAATGGAGGAAGAAAACTCCTAAATGCTCCTTCCTGAAGACTGTCATAAAGGAACCCAGTCATTGCACTGGATGGTTAGCTGCGTCAAAAGTTTGTTGTAAAAGAAATGGGCAATATTTTGAAGGGGGGGAGAGTTACTAATGTGCTATAGAGCTTTTAATTTCTAACCAAACTAATTGCTGCTGCTGCTGCCTCTTAAGGGTGTTCTGCATTACAGAGAAGGTGAGATTCTACTATTTCAGAACTGAGGAACACAAAGCATTCTGAGTGTGATAGAGCGACAGGATGCATCTCCTCAGGATATGCCTAATGGTTCCTTGACATCATTGATATGAGGTTTTATATCCTAATATATGAGAACACACGATTGTCCAGAAAAGCATATGAAATTAAATACACTCGCTACCCCTTTGCTCCCTACTTCTGCAGAAACTGGTCCCAGAAGGATGGCAAATTGTTGCATTTAACGTAACAATTCTGATGCTTTCAGGTTTGAACCAAGACAGATCTGCCAACAGTTCCACAATGTCCGACAGTGACTTTGGGGAAGACGATGGGAGCCTTTCTCAGGACCCATCCCAGCCTGGCAAGAGGAAACGAAGGGGCAATCTCCCCAAAGAGTCTGTCAAGATCCTGCGGGAATGGCTGTATGAACATCGGTTCAATGCATACCCTTCAGAGCAAGAGAAACTCAGCCTTTCAGGACAGACAAGCCTCTCTGTTCTACAAGTAAGAAACTTCGTATATAGGTTTTCCCAGAAGGTGGCTCTGAAATTAAGGCAGGAGGTGGGGGTGGATGGTGGGGGCGAGGAGAAAGTTTGCAAAATGGAAAAGCTGTTAAATAAGAGCTAGGCTTTATGCTTTCAAATCCCTGACACAGACTAGTTGGCTTCTATTTACCAAGTTTTGCACTAAAAATTAAACTACAGAATTTCCATACAAATTTTTAGCTCTGCTTTCTTCCTTAAAAGAGTCACAGCTTCTTATTGTTGACATTGGATCTGAAAAACTCCTATATTTTGTGTGTTCTGAAGGACAGAAGTAATATTTTTCTGCCTCTTTAATGTGTCCTGAAATGTGTTTTTTGTCCGGCTTGATCTTTCCTAATTAAAACAGAAGAGAACTAGTTTAGGATATAAATATTAGAAGGGAAGCAAGCGTCATAATAGTTGTGCGTAGGTCTAATACTTAATAGGTACCTCATTGAATTGACTAGTTTGTTGTCCAAAAGAAATCTAAAGGTGGTGTTAGTAATGAATTTATAATTTGAATATCCAAGATTCATTAAGTAACCCTGTGCTAAGATCATAATGACATGGTGGAATTAACTCCAGTCCTATGCTTGTAGTACATTAGTTGTGATGGGAAGCTAATATAGAATGTGGTTGAGTATTCAGTGATATTTCCAAATATAGCTTTTACCGCCAAACTATTCAGTGACTCATTAAATCATCAAACACTGGAGGCCCAATTTTCCATGAGGTGGGATATTTCAAGCACATGTCTAGATCTAGTATATAAGATGCGCCTATTCTTTAACCCTGGTTAGGATTTCAGTGGCACTATCACAGATCCTATACTAGTCCAGGAGAGGTTAGGGCAGAAATATAAGTATTGATTAGCCTGTCTTTGCAGAACCAGATACATTATTAAACTGTCTTTGTGTTGCCTTTAAAAATGTCGTCTTATGATCTTTGTGAATGCAAAGTAGTGTGTAGGTGAGTAGGTGTCTGTGATGGGATTTTTTTCCTGACAAATAATTACAAGAAATGTTTGTAACTAGATAAGCAGATTTTATCTTATGCCTAACTACAGGTGGCCCTCAACTTATGACTTCAATTGAGCCCAACGTTTCTGTTGCTGTGTGAGAAACTTGTTAAGTGAGTTTTGTCCCGTTTTATGACTTTTTTTTGCCACATTTGCTAAATGAATCACTGCAGTTCTTAAATTAGTAACATGGTTGTTAAGTGAATCTGATTTTCCCCTTTGATTTTGCTTGTCAGAAGGTTGCAAAAGGAGATCACGTGACCTTGGGACACTGTGAGTGTCATAAAAGGGGGTCAGTTGTGAAGCATCCGAATGTAAACCATGTGACCACGTGCAAATGGTCGTAAGTTTGAAAAACGATCACAACTCACTTTTTTCAGTGCCACCCATTGTAACTTCGAACCGTCACTAAATGAACTGTTGTAAGTTGAGCACTACCTGTATTTAAGGTGTGATTTAGCCATCCATAGCCATATTAATTAAAGCTTTCAGTGTTTCAATTTTGAAGACAAAAGAGGTGCTATTGAGTGTACAGGAGTGTGAGCGTAGCACCTGCCTGCAGTGTGTGGGGCTGTGTGGCAGCTGCAGAGAGCTGATAGGCAATCCATGACAAAGGGTGTCTGCTTTAAGGGATTGTAGAAAAGTGCTGGTTGCGTTCACTTTGCAAGATCTGAACCACAACTTTTTCTTCACATCTGAAGCACTGCTTTACTTTTTGTGTGCTTTCAAATCAGTCTTGGCTTCTGGTAACTGCTTGGACAGATGCATGCACTTTTCTTGGCCAATATTTTTTGGGAAGCAGTTTGGTATTACCTTCTCCCCAGGACTGAGGAATTGGCCCAAAGTCAGCTGAGGTTCATGATTAAGGAAAGCCTGTCACTCAGAGCCTCCCAGTTTCTAGCGTAGGGTCTTCAGTGCAGGCCTGGATTTCACGCCTTGGTATCAGGATAGAATTCAACCAAATACAATGGCAGCCTTGCACTTTTAAATGGCTGGCGTTTTGCTTGTCCTCTTCCTTTTCTCCTCTTTCAGCTGCATTGTGCATCCAGCTATGCTGGCTGGAGAATTCTAGGAGTTGAAGTCCATAAGTCTTAAAATTGCCGAGTTTGGAGAGCTCTGCCCTAAATAAATTGTTGGCTGAGTTCTGGGCCCAAAGATAATTCATTTTATTTCCTCATGTTAATTTTTTCTCCTGTGTCTAGTTACACAGGGGAGGAGGTATGTAACTTAGAAATTCGGGGAGAATGCCAATATAGAAATTCAGTATAGATGCAAGCAATTTCAGCTGAAATAACAGGCAGTGACAGACTCTGAATATCTGAATTTAGCTAGTTTTTTTTCCTGAAAACTTGCCTCCTTCTCTTCAGTCTCTACAAAACAAACCTCAAATTAAATGGAAGTTTCTTGAATAAGACCCCTTCGAAGCTGTCCTAAGGTTGTTTTCAAAGAGTTGGCCAATTTCACAATAAACAGTAAATACTGTCTTGGATTCAATCCCGTAATATGCGGATAAGAAGTCATGAGCTCTACCTTGTAGGATAGGTGCGACCTGGCAACATAATAAGTATACAATTAAAATTTCTCTGCTATGGTACAGCTTTTCAAAAACAGCTAAAGAAGTACATCTAAACTCTTGAGCACAAGCCTTGGAAATTATTATAAAGGCAATTTTTTTCAGATAAAGTTGGACATTTTAATTTTCTGGATTTACACTGAGGAAAGTATCTTGATGCCTCATGAATGAACATTGGTTTGATCCAACAAAGTAGAGACTGCTCAGAATTAATATTACTATCTAATGGTTAGTGAATGCATCTATGTAGATTTGTTGCCGACAGTACAGAAGTAGTTCGTCATTGCCTTCTTCCAAGAGTTGGGTTTTTTAAAAAAAACTTCTTAAACCAGACCTGGAATTTTCAGATGATCCTTGATCTACTTTTATACTTGGCTGGTTCAGAATCAAAAGTTGCTGCAAGGATACTTATTTTACTTATTTTTTAATGCTCCAATTCAGTAACTGTTATATTTTCCAGATTGGAGTGGACAGTAGCAGTTTTCTTTCTCTGATCAGATTCTAATGGTGTGGGAGAGCACGTTTTCGTTGATGGAGGAACAAGAGGGAAATTTCTACTCTTTCTCAACCTATCTCCCCCCCTGCCCCACTATCCAATTACATTTCTGTCACAAAACACTGGAGAGTAGATTTTGAGGGTATAGTTGAGGATTGGGCAGGAGGGACAGGAGTTACAATTCTATTAATGTGAGCAAATTTAGGATTCTTCAACAGTGAATTCAGAATTCAGGCTCAATAAACATATCATTTTGAATTCCAGGTGAGATGGCAGAACTCTAATTTATATCCGCTTTTCTATTGTTAAGGGACCAACATGGCTAAAAGAGGGAATAAATTGAGCTAAAACCCTCAAACCAGCTTAAGCGTTGCTGAACAGATTGGTTCAGGCTCCTTTCTTGAAAAGAGAAAGTAGAGGCTAAGTGAAACTCCTAAGGGGGAGTGCATTCCAAAGATTGGGAGTGATAGAGTAGTAAGATTGCTCCTTCATGCCTCAAGAATAGCCTCTGAAATCTGGACAGATGCATAGTAAGATAGAACCTGTCAGTCAGTCAGGCCCTAAACTGTAGAGACCTTCAGAGGTTAAAACCAATATCTTCAGTTGTGCCTTGAAAGCTCTCATCAACCAGATAAGTCTCTCTATAAAGTATGATGTTATCCCCAACTCCTTCAATCCTTTGGCAGGCATATTTTGTACCCATTGAAGTTTCTGGACACCTTTCAACTCAGTGCAGTCACTGACAATTATTTGATGGAACCACACAGATTAAAATGCTTCAGGCATAGATTGGTATATTACCAATATATCAGATTTTATTTCATCCTTTTGCAATAAAATCTTTTTTCACTGAAGAGAAACTGGCTAGATCATGGCATTAGAGCTAGCAGTTCTTACTAGGTTATTGTGGGAATCCAGTACTTTAATGGTTTACTGTCAGTATTAGTCATATTATACAGGCTTATAGAAGCTTGCAATTTATAAAATAAAGGGTGGCCTGTTTTGTTCATGCTACAGATTTTTAGGCTAGCTAAAATACTATGAAGAGCTCTAAAGGAGCTTTCCAGCCTGGTGAAATACATGTAAGCAAGTCAAGTAGTTCACCAGAAGCAAAGCTTTGCATTCTGTGATATATACAGATAAGACCAGAAAATATATGTGGTAGTTGTGGTAAGCCGCCATGGCAAATAGGCGGCAATACAAATCTAATAAATAAATAAATAAGTGTGTCCATAAAAATATCAGCCATGCAAAGGAAGGAAGGAAGAATGGATTGAGTTTTCTCCTGCAATGTTAGCTTAGTTTACTTGTATTTCCTAAAAATACAAGTCTAATTCATGGGATACATTTCTGTTTGAGATGTCCAAATAACACAGCCTTGTTCAACAAATAGTTGGTGGTACTCCATTTTAAGTAGGCTGCCTTTGCAATCGCAAAGTTTCAGGCCTAACTTAATAAAAGTTAGACAAGGCTTGATAGTAGGTTATATGGGCACAAGGCTTGATAGTAGGTTATATGGGCAGCGCACAGAGCATTCTCTGTGTTGTGCAAAAGGCTAAAAAATATGTTATTAATTATAAAATCCTATTCATTCCCAAAGTGTAGGATATAGTTAATTGCTACTAAATAAATTAAAATTTTCTGTGCCAACTTTTAACTCTGATTTAAATTGGCTTTCTATAATAACATCCCTATAATATCTTAGCTATAATCCCCAATCCAACTGCAATGTGGACTTTATATTGTAAAATTTGGAATTATTATCTCTAACTTTTGACATTTCGTAGTGAATAACCTTCTCTAGAGTGAAGTTTTTGTGAATCTATTATCCTTTCTGAGGAATAGTTGGAAAGTTGAATTGTAGCCTTATCTATGGTAACATTTGCTTTCTCA